TGTGACAATTCACTACTTTAAAAACAATTCACTGCTGTAGAAACAACGATTCACCGCTTTAAAAACAATTCACTACTTTAGTGGAATGGAGGAAACAGTACCAAGATGATAAATGTTTATAACGAAAAATATATTCTAATTAACGTTGTATGGTGCAATATTATTCGCATTTGATCCAATTTGGAATTAATTTCATAAATAAATTATTGAAACATAACTAACAATGATTTTAACGATACGAATAAGGATTTTATTCACCTTTATATCAATGTATCTCTTACACGAAATCTTATAAACAACCTTCGACTTCTTATCACGAGGTAAGGGGTCCTTATGTACCAAAATAAATTCACTCAATTTATCAACACTATAAAACGATACTCTCATATGCTCGCTATTCAATCTACTAAACTTCTCATTAATACCACGAATGAAAGGGACAGTGAACCACGAAGGATGCACTACATTAACGCCATTATCACTAACAACATTCTTCCTATTACTAGCCATAATAATATTCTTCAAACGGTTGTTAATGTTCTCAAATATAAAGCTTAAAGGATAATCATTCTCTAACAATACTTTAATTACGAAACACAAATTATCAAAGTGGAATTTAGTTATTTTTATTCGAGCAGATGACGGTAGCATTGGATAGACAGGCATATGTTCCCAAGGTAAATGAAATGCTTCAGGATGTGAATGTTTATGAGGTTGAAGGGGATCCGACGAGGAGAATGGTATGGGCTTACGCGCCTTATTAGTTAGTTGGAAGGAAAGAATATATAAGTATCTAATTCCACATATAGAAGTTTATTATGCAATGATGGGATACTTCCGAGGGCCTACGCTCTTCCGAAAATACATAAGCAGGACTGCCCCTTTCGTATAATAGTTTCTTCGATAAATAGCCCTTTGTATTCGTTAGCAGTGTTCTTTCATAGTATTATCGTTAAAACAATTCCTAAGGCCGATAGCCATATCGATAATAGTTTTAAACTTGTTAAGGAACTGGATGGTAGGCGGTTGAGTGATGAATTTCAGTTATCATTAATATCACTGGATGTTGTTGGTCTCTTCACTAACGTTCCCATTGACTATGCGATGGACTGTATCCAAGACCATTGGCGATTCATTTCTAGAAATTGTTATTTACCGAAGGAGGAATTCATCAAAGCGATTCAGTTTATTGTCACGAGAGCAATTGCACAAGTTCCCGAATGTTAATATTAAGAACATATTAAGTGTACATATTACTAAATATTAATGTACATTTTTAAAAACATACCGAAAAGAAAAGAAGAAGCGTAAGGCCGAAATTACGAAAGCAATTAATAGAACTCGGCCGTTGCGTCCTTGATCGATAATCAGAACGCTCTGATGAGGAAGCGCTGATTCGGTAAGGACGGCCGAGGAGAGCACGGGATAAAAGGACAAGATGCGAAGCAGACGCAGGTCATTTTGTAAAAGTCATAAGCGCATCACGTTACTCGATTCGTTAACTAGTTATATTAAGTGGTTTGTCGTAATTATAAAAACCCTTACGATTAAAATAGTGAAAAGGTGATAACAGATCCAACTAAGTGTTTACATGAGAAATAAACTACTTTATTAAAAAAAGTCTATAAAAGTTATTCAGTGTTTTAATTGGTGATACGCCTATAGTCGTCCCCGCTGGATCCCGAACCCGTATCGTCAAATACCGGTACAACATTATTTTAGATTCTACTTTCTTTATTTTTGATAGTGTTATTTATAAGCAGAATTACGGGACTCCTATGGACTCCCCGTTGAATCCCGTCATCGCGGAACTAGTTATGCGTAAGTTGGAAAGGGGGTGATCCCGATTGACCACGGCTAGATTGGACACCACCAAGCACAGCGACCGGTGCTTAGGAGCTTTGTAGTCTCAAGCGCTGTGAGTGGCTCGTGTCCAACTGGGTGCCACCCAGGAGTTACAAACTCCTACTGTTCTCGAGGTACCACGGTTTGCAGCGCCCTCACTAAGTGACAGGTCTCACGGACAGAACTAAACTTCGTAATGTGAGTGATCCGCCATATTAAAACTGTATGAAGTAACGAAGAGTACGATACGAGGTTATCAATGTGACTGGTTATCAATGTGTCTGGTTATCAATGTGACTGGTTATCAATGTGACTATTTTATATGTTCAAACACATACATGCACGCACCCATATATCGACACAATACATATATTGATATACATATGCTTGTATACAGGGAATGGAAGTAACTCGTTACTTGTAACGAAGTTACAGTTACAAGTTACTTTTTTTGTAACTTTACTAGTAACTGCGTTACTTTTTTTCTTTGGTAACTGTAACGGTAACGAAGTTACATTTTTTTGGTAACGGTAACGAATTTTACAGTTAC